TAGTGGGCATTGGTTGGGGTGAGTACGGAGTAGTGGGCATTGGTTGGGGTGAGTACGGAGTAGTGGGCATTGGTTGGGGTGAGTACGGAGTAGTGACCATCGGTTGGGATGAGTACGGAGTAGTGGCCATCGGTTGGGATGAGTACGGAGTAGTGGCCATCGGTTGGGAGGAGTACGGAGTAGTGGCCATCGGTTGGGATGAGTACGGAGTAGTGGCCATCGGTTGGGAGGAGTACGGAGTAGTGGCCATCGGTTGGGTTGAGTACGGAGTAGTGGCCATCGGTTGGGTTGAGTACGGAGTATTGGCCATCGGTTGGGTTGAGTACGGAGTATTGGCCATCGGTTGGGATGAGTACGGAGTAGTGGTCATCGGTTGGGATGAGTACGGAGTAGTGGCCATCGGTTGGGATGAGTACGGAGTAGTGGCCATCGGTTGGGATGAGTACGGAGTAGTGGCCATCGGTTGGGATGAGTACGGAGTAGTGGCCATCGGTTGGGATGAGTACGGAGTAGTGGCCATCGGTTGGGATGAGTACGGAGTAGTGGCCATCGGTTGGGATGAGTACGGAGTAGTGGCCATTGGTTGGGATGAGTACGGAGTAGTGGCCATTGGTTGGGATGAGTACGGGAAAGCCAGACTGTAAAGTGTCGAGGAGGTTGTTGTCGGTGAGGGAGGAGCTCAGGCGATTGTAGACTAAGTTTTCTAGGAGTTCAGAGGTAAATGGCAGCAGGGAGATGGGTCTTAAGTTGTTCAGGTTGGTGGGGTCCAGGGAGGGCTTGTTAAGTATGGGAGTGATGTGCGCATGCTTTAGAGGGGAGGGGAAGGCACCAGTAGAGATGGAGAGATTGAAGATGTGAGTGAGGGAGCATAGGATGGAAGAAGAGGGTGACCGTAGTAGTTGTGAGGGGACAGGATCCAGGGGGCAGGTGGTGAGACGGGTTTCCGAGAAAACCTTAGTGACCTCTTCGGTAGTAGCGAGGTCAGAAGAGGAAAGTGTTGAGGGAGGTTTAGTATAAGGTATGCTAAGTGGGATGGATGTCTGTGTAGTGGAGACGCCCCTATGAATTGCATCAATCTTGTTTTTGAAATGATTTGCAATCTCATGAGCAGTGAGTGAGGTACTGGGTGGAGGTGGAGGTGGAGAAAGTAGAGAGTTAAAAGTAGAGAAGAGACAACGAGGACTGGATGAGAAGGTTTTAATTTATGTCATGGGGGGGGGGGGGGGGAGATTTTCTTGGCACACTTTGGGCCCCTAAGTACCAATTGAGCTTTGTTTAAATGCCATGGTCCATGCACCATGTCACAAAGCTCAGATCATCTCCAACTGGTTCTTCTGGAACATGACAATGAGGTCAATGTACTCCAATAACCTCCACAGTCACCAGATCTCCATCCAATGGAGCACCTTTGGGATGTGGTGGAACGGGAGATTCCCATCATGGATGTGCAGCCGACAAATCTGCAGCAACTGCGTGATGCCATCATGTCAATATGGAGCAAAATCTCTGAGGAATGTTTCTAACACCTTGTTGGATTTATGCCACGGAGAATGAAGGCCAAAGGAAGCCCAACCCGGGACTAGCAAGGTGGACCTCATAAAGTGGCCGGGGAGTGTATTTCCAATGCGGTGAAAGTAAGTAAGATTCTGAAGATAAGTTTCAAGAATTTCCCAAAATTTGATCATTTTCACCGGTTGTGTCACGGCTTTTGTTTTCAATGGAGAAAAGCCAAAGAAGGAAAAGCCAAAGATGCCTCTATAGATGGCGGAATCGGGCTCCACCCTGACAGCTCTGATCTGTCTATTTTTTACTCCAACTTAGAGAGATCATAAAAAAATGTTCAGCAAAGTTGGGCAAACCTGGAAGAATGAAAGAAATAGAAGGCTCCTATTTTCATCTCCCTTATACATTGGTGACAAAGGGGTCTATTTATACAAATGTCACAGAGCTCTTCATCCATTATATCTTTCTGTACATTCGTTCTGTGTGAATCGGGTAAGAACGAATGTTTAGGCTTTTTTCTCTTCTCAAAGAATGTGCTTTTTCTTGTGAAGTATTAAGATACCATATTATAACCACTAGATGGGGCTGATGAGCATAGGAAAGATGCAACCAGAAATACAGTGAGACAATTCTAGAGAACACTAGAGGGAAGTAGTCAGTATTTGTAATTCCATCTAGCCTTCTCCAGAGTTGTTACATTGTATCTCTTGTGTATTTCCTCTGCTCCTTAGCTCCATCTACTGGCCAAAACCTGGGATTTTACTACGGCCTACAATAAATGAACATTCGTGCAGAAGAGAAATAGCTTAAAGAACCTTTATTGTTGCCCAGTTTTCTCTGAACTCTCCTCTAAATTAGGATTTGGGATTCGGAGCTGGAGGAGAGGATGGGTGGGGTCAGGATCCAGGGGTTGGGTTGGTGGGTCACAGTGAGAAGAAGGTGTGAAGAGAAGAGTATCAGCGATGATAGTCATGATGCAGCACTCATAATAACATGCACACTTGTAAGACATAATCTGTATTAGGAAGACCTCATCTGGAATCATAGGGTGGTGTAGAACTGGATGGAAAGCAAAGAAGGGCCACCAAATGGATGCCACAGAGGCATGGAGGAGTTCAGCTATAGGAAGAGGCAGTCATGAGGGGATATGGTCACCGTGTATAAATACGTATATGGTCCATATAGGGAACTTGGTGAAATGTTCATTTTAAGGTCCTGAGAGCACACTTGTACAAGTTAACCTTTGAATATGGAAAGGGTTCTTTGCAGTAAGAGCTCTTAAGATGTGGAAAAGACTTCCTCAGGAGCATGTTTCTAGCCAGCTTTGTAGATCGCCTTTTTCAACCAGGGTGTCCAGGCACCTTGAGGTTTCTTCAGGGGTACCTTGGCAAAATGTCTAAAAATTGCCCAAAACTTGTATACAAGCCAGCGGGGTGGATCAAGCCGGCCTTTTAGTCACACAAAACCACAGGTTTCCATTGTGCCCCATCACGGCCTTCTAGCCACCGGTGTCCTGACAACCAATGACATCAATTGATAAGAAGGATGTCAGCTGCCTGGACAGCATCCTAGTTTGACCCTCCCCCACCCCTCTCCATCAGTGCTGGGGGTCACATTATCTCAGTGATGGAGAAAAGCTGAGGGAGAAGAGAAACATTGGAATACTAGTCAGTACCAGCGTGTAAAAGTGTATTTGCTTTGGAAGAATAAATCACCTCTAATGTTGGGTGTCCTACATGTGTGGGTGTTGCTGCATCATATAAAACTATTCGAATAGTTTTTTACATTTTAGAATGGGGGGCCACAAGACTGACCAAAATGTTAGAGGGTGCCTCAAGAGACTGACCACAATGTTAGAGGGTGCCTCGAAACTGACCATAATGTTAGAGGGTGCCTCAAGACTGACCACAATGTTAGAGGGTGCCTCAAGACTGACCACAATGTTAGAGGGTGCCTCCAGACTGACCACAAGGTTAAAGGGTGCCTCCAGACTGACCAAAATGTTAGAGGGTGCCTCCAGACTGACCATAATGTTAAAGGGTGCCTCCAGACTGACCACAATGTTAAAGGGTGCCTCCAGACTGACCATAATGTTAAAGGGTGCCTCCAGACTGACCATAATGTTAAAGGGTGCCTCCAGACTGACCATAATGTTAGAGGGTGCCTCCAGACTGACCACAATGTTAAAGGGTGCCTCCAGACTGACCATAATGTTAGAGGGTGCCTCCAGACTGACCATAATGTTAGAGGGGGCCTCCAGACTGACCACAATGTTAAAGGGTGCCTCCAGACTGACCATAATGTTAGAGGGTGCCTCCAGACTGACCATAATGTTAGAGGGGGCCTCCAGACTGACCACAATGTTAAAGGGTGCCTCCAGACTGACCATAATGTTAGAGGGTGCCTCCAGACTGACCACAATGTTAAAGGGTGCCTCCAGACTGACCATAATGTTAGAGGGGCCTCCAGACTGACCATAATGTTAGAGGGTGCCTCGAGACTGACCACAATGTTAGAGGGGCCTCCAGACTGTCCATAATGTTAAAGGGTGCCTCCAGACTGACCATAATGTTAAAGGGTGCCTCGAGACTGACCATAATGTTAGAGGGTGCCTCCAGACTGACTACAATGTTAAAGGGTGCCTCCAGACTGACCATAATGTTAGAGGGTGCCTCCAGACTGACCATAATGTTAAAGGGTGCCTCCAGACTGTTCATAATGTTAGAGGGTGCCTCCAGACTGACCACAATGTTAAAGGGTGCCTCCAGACTGACCATAATGTTAAAGGGTGCCTCGAGACTGACCATAATGTTAGAGGGTGCCTCCAGACTGACCATAATGTTAAAGGGTGCCTCCAGACTGACCATAATGTTAGAGGGTGCCTCGAGACTGACCATAATGTTAGAGGGTGCCTCCAGACTGACCATAATATTAAAGGGTGCCTTGAGACTGACCACAATGTTAGAGGGTGCCTCAAGACTGTCCATAATGTTAAAGGGTGCCTCGAGACTGACCATAATGTTAAAGGGTGCCTCGAGACTGACCTTAATGTTAGAGGGTGCCTCCAGACTGACCTTAATGTTAGAGGGTGCCTCGAGACTGACCACAAGGTTAAAGGGTGCCTCCAGACTGACCATAATGTTAAAGGGTGCCTCCAGACTGACCATAATGTTAAAGGGTGCCTCCAGACTGATCACAATGTTAGAGGGTGCCTCGAGACTGACCACAATGTTAAAGGGTGCCTCCAGACTGACCATAATGTTAGAGGGGCCTCCAGACTGACCATAATGTTAAAGGGTGCCTCCAGACTGACCATAATGTTAGAGGGTGCCTCGAGACTGACCATAATGTTAGAGGGTGCCTCGAGACTGACCACAATGTTAAAGGGTGCCTCCAGACTGACCATAATGTTAAATGGTGCCTCCAGACTGACCACAATGTTAAAGGGTGCCTTGACTGAAGAAAGGTTGAGGAACACTGCTGTAGATTGCAGGATGACCCTAATCCTGGACGGACAAGATATAGCTGGCTATAAGTACTTACAAGAAATGTAGGTTGTTGGTCCCAGGAGGACCTGCTTGCCTTAGGATGATTAGGAATTCATCTCCTTCACTATTGGAGCAAATTGGACTGTGATTTATACAGGTTTTCTGCCTTCCTCTGGGTCTGGATCCTCTGGATGTTCAGTTCTGAGTATCTAAAATGCATTTTTGTTCTTCTTTTTAAATTTTACACCTCACTATGTAAGTCTGTACACCCATGTCCATCAAGTTCAGTCAGGTCAATGTTCTGGGGATCACATGTAGGATATACTGTATATCTTGTACTGTAAGTTGGCCTCCAATGACTTACCATCTTAGGGACAATATCAATGGGCTTTTGTTTGTATCAGAACTGCTTCTTGACCCGTACCAGTCTATGGGAATACAAAAACCTCTTCAAGCAGGTCACATGAGGGTTAGGAGGAACTCCAATACACCTGTAGGGACCCTGCCGAAAACTACCATCTTCCTACCCAAATCAAGCATTTCTAGCTAGTTGTAGCCGGCCTGAGCCTTGTTTGTTGTCTGGACTTGTGGGGTTCCTCCTCAGCTCAGCATGTTCATTGCTTCTGTTAATTCTGATAAAAAGGTGCAGCGCTAAAACATGCACATTAAAGTGCAAAGTGATCAGTAAATACTTAATCATCCAAGATAGCCTGAACATACGCATAAAAATATCCAATATATAGAGAAATAATATGCTCCGCAAAATGTATCACCATCAGGTGATAATAGATGGTGACAAATGTCCCAAAAAGAGACGTGAGGATCCTTTCAAGATCACAAGATCCGTGTGTGGCTGATAAATCCAAGGGTGCCATCCTGAACTTTTTATGGTCGGTGTATTTTCTTTCCTTTGTTTATGTTACTTGATATCTGTGGAATAAACTACCCCTTAATGCAGTATCACGCTATGTGGTGTCCTTCATTGGCCCCTCCTTGTGAGCGCCGTCATTTGCAGAGCCCTCCCTAGTGATGACCCAACGCAGTGATACATACTAAGGGACCCCAGAGAAGCTTTCGCAGACGTGACCAGACACTGTGACATCTGCCTAAAGATCCCGTGTTATGTGGACCTGGCTGAATCCGGGACAGATGACCTGAGCATACCTGATGAGACAGGATAATATCTCAAATGTGTGTTTATAGCGCACTTCTGGTGAGTGCGCATTTTGCTTATCTAATCACGGCATCTGGCACCCTTGGATTTATCACCCACACACGGATATTGTGATCTTGAAAGGATCCTCACGTCTCTTTTTGGGACATTTGTCACCATCTATTATCACCTGATGGTGATACATTTCGCGGAGCATATATTATTTCTCTATATATTTGATATTTTTATGCGTATGTTCAGGCTATCTTGGATGATTAAGTATTTACTGATCACTTTGCACTTTAATGTTTTAGCGCTGCACCTTTTTATCAGTATTTGCATTTGAAGGTCTTTTTGGTTACCTTTGGTGTTCCAGCGGCTATATCTAGAAGTAGCACTCGCTGATATTCTCTTTTATACTGCTTCTGTTAATTGCTCTCTAGTAGACCAAGAAGATACAGTACATTGTTTGGGGTTAGGAACATTTTTTTTTCTGTCTTGGCCAATCACTGACAGGTTTGTGGTAGTGATGTGATCTGGGGAAGAGAATGCAAATTTGAAGAGACCTTCTAGTAAGTTCCTTCCCCCTCAAACTGCCTTCAGATTATGTAGCTCCAGAAAGTTCATTGTGTTCTAGGTTCTGTTGGTGACAATATGAGTGTAGAAGGATCCAGTTCTCTTCTCTCAGGCTGCTGTCTGGGGAAGATTTAGCTCCAGAGAAGTCCATTCTTTGCCTCCCAAGCCCTTTACTTGGAGGAGGAAGTCACAGCCAGGAAAGGGTGTTTGTTTTCCTAGCTGCCCATCTTGGCCTAGTGTGTCCTAAACTGGCCTGAGGCAGAGGCTGGAAGAGTCCTATCCTGGCCTGTGGCAGAGGTCAAAGAAACCAAAAAGTAGCCATTCATTTGGGCCTACAGAATGTAAACTGGGCTATGGCTGAGGCCCAAAGAGTCGTATAGCTGACCTGTGGCAGATGTCAAAGGATACTGGAAGATAGTAGCCCTCCTGGGCCCAAAGAGTGATGTGAAAAGTCTACCGAGTGAAGGAAATTTTTGGGGTATCCTGAACTCCTCACCTCCTCTCCCTAAGACATTTGAACCAATAAATTGCAAAAGAAGGACTGAAGATTCTTTCTTTCTGCAACTGTTGAAAGACTGGCGAGTTTTTGAGACCATCTACAGGACGGGCCAATGTTAGGAAGGCTAGAAGGGACCATAAAACTCCAGCAGATTCTAAGGGCTCCACTGATTAACACCTAACAATAAATTCTGAGTAATCTCAGAGGCGTCTCAAACTGATGTCAATAGCATGCTCATCTGCCCAACTCAAAGCCATCAACACAGACCCTTCTGTAAAGGGCCCTTTTCACTGGAGGTAGAATGGGCCTTTCTTGTTCTTCTGGAGCAGGGGCGGACTGACCATTTGATCACCCGGGCGCTGCCTGAGGGCCCGGGGTCAGTAGGGGGCCCCATGAGATGCCCCTGGTACCTTTCATTGTTTTTTTTGGGTGTGAGTGAGGACACAGGGGCCCCATGATCTCCTATTGCCCAGAGGCCCCATGAGTTGTCAGTCCGCCCCTGTTCTGGAGATTCTCTCTTGTCATTTATAAAAGCTTTACACTCTCATTGGATTGATTTATACCCATTCCTTAACAAATTATACATATAAGAGAAACCGGTCCAGTTTTTATAACTTTTAGCTGTTGGAGACTTTGAATTTATTCACCTAGAACTTGGGAGTCGGTGTCCTCCACATTTATCGTCAGTCCATTGGAAGGACACTGGACATTCAGAGGGGACACTAAGAATAAAAGAGATGGGAGGTCTCCCTCAGAATGAAAGCTTCTGAAATTGGCTCATTCCATGGATACGAGGTGGTTAAAGTATTGATGGTTTCTTGTAGAATTTCGTGTCCGGGATATCAAAGGGGAAGTACACCTGGATCGGACTGACGGACGTGTCAGGAGACTGGAAATGGGTGGATGGAACTGATTACAATTCTACACCAAAGTGAGTATGGAACCCCCCCACCATCCCCCATGTGACCCCCAACACGACCTCTATAAAACTAGATCAATAGGTGCCACTGTCAAGGCCATCCAACACCCAGTGCATGGATGCCAAACTGTGCCCCCCCCCCCCCCCTCATCAGTCACTCATTTGTCACAGTCAATGCCATGGTCACTGCTCAGCCTTGTAACAGGAGGAAGGCGCCCCCATCCCTACAGCAGTCCATTGTGCCCAGGGCAGCCACCCCTTCCACCCCCCCCCCCCCCCCCGATAAGCCCAAATCAACTGACTTCAATGGAAATAGTCCAATATCTGCTGTGCAACGTTCTTCACCCGATCCATCTGTCATCCATGACATAAAACCTTCTACACTGACACAAGGGACACCTTAATACATAGGGGGCCCGGAACATGCCTCGCTCTTGGGCCCCCTCCTCCCCGTATAAAGACATTTTATTACACTTCAAACTATCTCCAGCTTATGAGGGGATTGAAGATTTATGTTACCTCTGTTGGACCCATTCAGTTACCTCATTTGTTTTGTTGGTAAACAAGATGGTGGAATGGTGTTACTGCAGCCCTGAGCTGAGAGTGTACCTGGGGGAAAGAAAGGATGGAGATGAGGGTAGGTGCTCTGTGCCTGGCTGACTGCTGAACTATGAGACCTGACAGGTAGGTGTGTGCTCTGTGCCTGGCTGACTGCTGAACTATGAGACCTGACAGGGTAGGTGTGTGCTCTGTGCCTGGCTGACTGCTGAACTATGAGACCTGACAGGTAGGTGTGTGCTCTGTGCCTGGCTGACTGCTGAACTATGGGACCTGACAGATAGATGTGTGCTCTGTGCCTGACTGACTGCTGAACTTTGGAACCTGACAGGTAGGTGTGTGCTCTGTGCCTGACTGACTGCTGAACTATGGGACCTGGACAAGTATATGTGTGCTCTGTGCCTGGCTGACTGCTGAACTATGGGACATGCTTAGTAGATGTGTGCTCTGTGCCTGGCTGACTGCTGAACTATGGGACCTGGACAAGTAGATGTGTGCTCTGTGCCTGGCTGACTGCTGAACTATGGGACCTGACAGGTAGATGTGTGCTCTGTGCCTGGCTGACTGCTGAACTATGGGACCTGGCCAGATGGACGTGTGCTCTGTGCCTGGATGACTTCTGAACTATGGGACCTGACAGATAGATGTGTGTTCTGTGCCTGGATGACTGCTGAATATGGGATCTGTCCCGGTATATGTGTGCTCTGTTCCTGGCTGACTGCCAAACTATGGGACCTGGCCAGGTGGATGTGTGCTCTGTGCCTGGCTGTCATCTGAACATGAGACCTGGACAGGTGGATGTGTGTTCTGTGCCTGACTGACAGTTGAACTATGGGAACTGAGAGGTAGATGTGTGCTCTGTGCTTGGCTGACTGCTGAACTATGGGACCTGGACAAGTATATGTGTGCTCTGTGCCTGGCTGACTACTGAACTATGGGACATGCTTAGTAGATGTGTGCTCTGTGCCAAGGCTACATTGGCCTGATTTGTCTGCAGTTCAAACTCCCCTCAGTAGGGCAAAGGAATACTATGAGGAGCAGGTCGGACTCTGCCTCTAAACTCATGTGTACTGCTCAGTTGAAGCCCATGGGATGTCACTGAGCTGTGTTTGAGGTTTGTTCCAAAAGTTCCAAATAATGACCATCAACAGGAGCTCCTCCAAAGATGGTGACTATGGGGTCCTTCAAGGTGGAGATGCTCATATGTTTTTCTTAAAGGTGACAATGGAGCTGCAGGTCCTTCAGGGTG